GCCACCTTGTGCGTCAATCTTTCAATCCTTTGCGATAAAGTATTTGTTTTATGATCCAATTTCACGGCCTCGTGATAAACTTCGCCGAAAATATGCTCAGCATGTCGACTTAACGAACTCAGTTGTCGAATTAGATTTGCTAGAGTACCATTGGCAACGCATTCCAACTCATCGTGCTGTATCGAAGATGGCAAACGATGAAGGCTTACGTTAACCGGTGAGATCGCACGCCTAGTCAGCGGCATCTGAAATATGCACTATTTTGAATTTTTTCTTTTGATTATTAGCTAGGAACTCTTCGACAATCGTATATTTCTTAGTACTTTTCATCAGTATTCTCCAATGATGTGGTACTATGATCCCAAGTATCACAAGGCAATCATGCCAACAAGGTAATTAGATCATCTTGCTAGGCGAACAGCCAAAAAAGATTTCATGAAGCAAGACATCAATGAACCCGATGAAATATCTGGAAGATTCCGCCTACCACACATTGAGCAGAGTAGGAGCATTCCCAACACAACTGCCATGTTTATTCTAGGCGGGTTTAGATCCGGATCGCTAACGTGATTGGGTTTGTGGGCGAGATTAGACGTGCAGGGAGAAGAGAGGCGAACCTGTGATGGCTTTCGGGAAGGATATATCTAAGGATAGTTTGTCTTGGCTTGCCTAGGAGCAGGCGACATTTTGTTCTATCCACGTTCATTTCTAAGGCTTGGCTATGAATTTCGGGATGTGGAGAAATTGCCGGGATGTTCTTAACTTTTCGTTTCCCACCGATCCACGACGCCACCTCTATGTCAGCTCATCAAGTAAGACACCACTGCTTGACATGCTGCATGCATTACTTGTTTATAGAATGCTTGGAAAGCACGGAAGAATGAAGAAGAGAAGGAGAGATGATAAGGAGGAAGCATTCAAGAATGCTAGCAATGATAAGGAAGATGTGACCGATGAGCACATAAAAATGGGGAGTGAGAAACGTGTAATGGAGAGAAAGAAGAAGAAAGTTGGAAAAAGTGGCAGAGAAATCAAAATTATCAGCTGGAATGTTGCTGGTCTCAGGGCATGGATTAAGGTTAATTTTATTTACAAAATTTCCAGGAATGGTGTAAGCAGTTATTCATATTTGGTTCTTCCGACCCTATTATTTAAGCTTAAATGCTGACTCACCGTTTGCATATAATTTCTGTTGCTTAGCTTTAGTTTGAAGAATGCAGTTGATATCTCAGAAAAAATACTGTAGGGTGGGCACTCAATTTTAAATTGTCATTTTGAATTTGCTTATCTTTAGAAGGATGGCCACTCAATTTTGGTTAAAGAGAATCCGGATATTGTTGCTCTACAAGAAACAAAATGTGTGGAAGTTCCAAATGAATTGCAAAATGGTTACTACAGTTTCTTGAATACTTCTGAAAAGTCTGGACACGGCGGTGTATTATTACTTACAAAAGAGGAGCCGATAAAGGTAGAATTGTGCGGTCTATTTTGTATTTGAAAAAAGGATTCTATCAACGCATAATTTCCTTGCCTATCATTATTATTACCTTTTTTCTGTATATACTGTTTTCAGGTAACATATACTTTTGATGACAAATCTAAGTCTGGTCTGGATGGGAATGGTAAAGGACGGATTATTATTGCTGAATATGAGAATTATTACCTTATTAACGCTTATGTTCCGAATAGTGGACGTGGTCTAGTGAACCTTGACAAACGAAAGTTTTGGGATGACTGCTACTTCAGTTTTATTAAAAAACTTGATTTAAATAAACCTATTGTGTATGTTGGAGACCTAAACGTTGCGCATCAGGAAATTGGTGGGTGATTCGAACATTTTCAATAATCCGAAATGATAACGAATATCATATATTTGCTCCAATATTTTACATTTAGACTTGGCGAATCCGAAAACCAATTATAACAAGACAGCTGGATTCACGGATCAGGAACGGAATGATTTTACTCGGTTGCTTGACGCCGGTATTTATTGTCTTAGTATTAGGATTATCTTAAAACAAGTTCTTCAATTTTCTAATTAATTTCCATGTTTAAAACATTTCATTAAAGGGTTTGTGGATGTTTTTCGCAGATTAAATCCAGAAAAAGAAGGTGTTTATACATTTTGGTCGAACATGCGCAACGCTAGAGAAAAGAATGTCGGTTGGAGGTGCATCTTTTTCCATTGTGTTTATTTTAATTTGTCTTTTCCTAAGAAATTCGAGTAATTATTCTATCATATTTGTTAATTTGCTCTACTATAAATCCTGATGTGGTAAAATGGTGCTAACTTCTACTGGAATTTCTTCAAAAGTTTGTAATTTTCAGGCTCGATTATTTTGTGGTTAGTGAACGAATTATGAATAAAGTAAAGGAGTGTGATATTCTCTGTTCAGTCAAGGGAAGCGACCACTGTCCCCTGAGTCTTACAATTGAATTGTGAGATCTAACCATTGAATGTTTTTGTACTGGGTCTTGTTATGATACATAGTATTTTGAGATCTTGAAATTCATTTGCATTTCAAAATCCAAACTTCTTATCTGTTCATTAGGGTCACTTCCAAATAGTGTACCTTGAGGAACATTTTTTGTCTCCCATTGCGTTTATTCCTAACCAGTTTATTTGCTTGTTCATTTGTTACTTTGCATTTGTTCGTTCCATGTATTTCTTTGTTTTTCTGGGCAAGCTTTAAGCTGCAGGTCCTTATGTCGCTGAAATAGTTTTAACAAGATATTTGAATAAATTTATGCCACGATACTCGTAAAACAGAGGCTGACTGAAGAAAAAACGAAAAGTTTATCGAATTGTAGGTTTTAAGATGCTGTTGGCGTAAACGTACACTCCCATTTAATTCCCGTTAACTTGGAATACTTTAAGAATAGATATAGTCGTAGATCGAGGAAATTGGTTGTCTTTTTTTCCTTTCTCTTTTTATTTTCATTCTGATTAAATAGAACTAAATCATTTGGAGGCAGTGAGCGAATTAAATATTGGTTGGTGTACTTATTTATGTATACGCCGATATAGAGAGCTGAAGAAGAAGGGAAGAGTGAATACAGAAGCACGATTACGTTGTTCAATGTTAATTTTTTTGTGGAGTGATAGTTTGGAGAAATGATCGGCAAGGAATACTTACAGCACGTCTCAGCATTCCAACAGCGATTCGTCTCGAAGGCCTTGTTCTCCTTCATCTTGTCACATCAAGTAGAGATCGAGTGTGTATGTCTTCTGGTCCGTCTGTTTGTTTCTCCGTATGTCATCTTTACGTACCATTTGTGCTATAGCAAGTGTCTCCATTTATTGCGCTTTCCTTAACCTAATTAATCACCTGCAATATGAAGGTATGTGTCATTTCCCACTTCCATAACAGATCTTTCTCTTCGTGTGCACCATATACACCACAATATACTTCATCACTCGTATGGAATTCGATTATATGAATGAATTTCCAATAAATTGTTTGCGCTGTTCACTTGAATTCTCCCTCCAAACACGGGCTTTTTCAACAGTGATCAGTAAGTCGATCGATGATAGTGTTGTGTAATACTCAATGTCGTATTCAATTATCTCATTCGGTCTTTGACAGTGCAATTTTTTTTTTCTGGAGAAGTATCTGTTTCACTTGAAGAACAGTCGAAGATAATTATCGACAATTGATCAATCGCAGAAGAGACAATCATTTTCCACAACTAATTGTTACTTCCCAGATTTTAAAACCAATTATGCCAATAGCGAATCTGAGTACTTTTACTTTACTGCACTATTAAACTTATTATTATTTTCAAATCTCTATTTTCCATACTTCTTTGTAAACATTCTTCTAATTCTGAACGCTTTCACATAGCATTCAAAATTGTCGTTTCCTTTTCTGATCCAAAGTATTCCGTCTTTTTTACTTGTAGCATAAAGATTACTCCCATCAAAAAGATCGGTAACAAATGAGTTACCGGTTTGTCAAGCTTAACTAGCGCAATGCAGTGGAATGTTTGGGAGACAGAATCTACAAATTTAACTCGTTTAGTGAATAGGCTTCCTTTTATTCTAATGGTCATTATGGCAGTGAGCACTCAGTTTCTTCCCATCATGAATCATCGTCACGATTCGGATCTCGATAGTTAATATAAACGATACGGCACACATTATTCACGCTATGAATCATTGCATGAATCCCATTTATTGTTCAATCGATTACGCCAAATTATTACTCTGTGGCTTTAATTAATCTCCACCATAACATGCTAACATTCAATTATCAGCATGATAACAAATATTTGAGAAGAAAGCTTCCGATGTCAGTCATGAAAATCTTTTTGTCTCATCTGTTAGTAAGACTCTCGCTGATTTGCATTATTCGATCTTAAAATGACGAACAGATTTTAGCACTGTCATTTACTATCTTCATCGTAGTGTGATGAATCATTTTGCAAAACCATCCTTCGAATTAATTAGAATTTTACTTTTGAATCGTAATTCTCTTAGGTGATAAGTGAACGAACACTTATACACAAAGCTATCATCACAATACATATTGTGGTGGCGTCTTGTGTGCTGTCACATTGCGCATCGCATTCCATCAGGTGCATTCATTGCTTTCTTGCAACGGTGCATACAATTTGAGATGACTAATGTCTTCGTGTTGTCGCACAAGTTTACATATATAACAGCTCACCATTTTATTTCATATTTCTAAAATTTGTTCATAAAGCTTTTTATTTGTTAAATTAAAATTTTTTTTATTTGTTCAACAGGCTGACAAAAATTTTATTTGCTTAAGTTAACAAGCTAAGCTATTTATTTACCAACAAAAAGTGGAAATATCTTTGACGAACAAATGAAACATTCACCAGATGTACTTTAACTTTCACCTTTAACCTTACATCCTTAACTAATTATCTTGTTACATTTTTTCATTAAACTTCATTACGTTGGAAATATTACGGTAATTGTGATGGAGAGGAAGATATAGTCATGAATGAAATTTATATGTTATAGTGATTGTATATTCAGAACAGCAGTTTGCTTTCCGAAAAACCATAAAAGTAGGAGAGTGCAATGGGCTCTTCAGCCTATTTTCTTGTGATCGCTGCCATCTTAACAACATATTTTGGTGATGCGGAAAGAGCAGAGCAAGAATATGACAATTATCAGGAATTTGTCATTACGGAAGGACGTAAGCTTATGCCTGTTCATTAATACAATGTCAGTATAATATGTTTGGATATATAGAAATACGATTAAAAAGAAATGACAAACTTCTCTCCTTCTCTATGTTTTAATAATAAAACTGTACAGAGCATGGTCTCTTCCCGACAATTTTCAATTTGGCAACAAATGCACTTATCTATGCAGATGCTACCTGTGGCCAACACCATCGTGAAATTTACTGCAAATTAGTAGAGCATGTTTTCAACAGGTTCAATCTCATAAATATAAAGTCTTTGTATTGAACAGAAAAAAAAAGCTACCTTACAATGTTTACCAAATTCCAGAGGAATATATATATATCTCTTTCGATTCCCGAGTGATCCCGGAGTACTTTTTCACCTTTTTTATGTCTTTCTTAACTCTCAGTGGTAAATTTCTATGTCTTGTTTTAGTTATATTGCCTGAAATTATTTGTAGGCAACCGCAATGTGACGTTTGTGATGCTAACGATGTCAGAAAGCGTCATCCAATTGAATTTGCAATTGACGGTACTCGACGCTGGTGGCAAAGTCCATCGTTAGCTAATGGGCTTGATTTTGAGCGGGTCAATATCACCATTGACCTGAGACAAGTTTGATTTATTTCCATCATCTGACCTGACGATCCCTTATGAATGGCTCACACATACAGAGGCTAGGAATGAAATTTGAAGTTGAAATGTAATGCAGCATCACCAAGGATGTTACAATTATTTCTTTTTTCTCCAACATTTAAAAAAACACAATGATTGGAAGGGATAATTAATTTCTGAATGATAAGAGTACCAATAATATAAATAGGTATGTGCTGGATCCATCAAAATATTCATTAGATAAAGTAAGAAACAAAATTAGTTGGACAGTTAGACAAGCAAGAAAAAAACAAAGTTAAAGGAATACCAAGTGGCTTATGTAATTGTAAAAAGTGCGATTGCACCTCGACCTGGAACCTGGGTATTGGAGAAATCACTTGATGGTATTAACTATCAACCTTGGCAATATTACGCAGTCAGTGATGCTGAATGTTTGCGACAATTCAATGTACCAGCAACCACTGGTGTACCAAGATTTACACGAGATGATGAGGTTAATTTAATCGTTAAAGTTGTTTAAACCAAAAAACAATGGAATTGTATTTAATCTCTCAATATAATTTGTGAATCAGAAGATACGTATTTCAGGTTTAAATCATTAAGTCTTCAGCAAAATGCCCTATTTTGGCTGATTTTAAATCATGACATTTTTGAATTTACAGGTAATATGTACATCATACTATTCAAAACTTGACCCGTTAGAAAATGGTGAGATTTATACGTCCCTCGTGAATGGACGACCATCTGCCGAAGCTGCGTCTGAAACCTTACAGGTAGCGTAAACTATTTTGAAATTGAAATCTTTTGAAAAAAAAGCATTATTATATCGCTTAATGCTTTTTCAAATGAAATTAATGTAGTTGTTGAAAAATAGATTGCTACTTCAGCAGTTTACTCGAGCTCGTTATGTACGTCTTCGCTTGATGAGTTTACGAACACTAAACGCCGATTTGATGATCATTAATCGTCGTGACAAGAGCAATAGATTGGATCTCTCGGTCACAAGACGTTACTTCTATGCCATCAAAGATATTAGTATCGGAGGGCAATGCATTTGTCATGGACATGCAGAAAGTTGTCCACCTGATCCGGTCACCGGGGTAACACTTTCATTGAGCACTTGCTGATAATTTAGTGTCCAATATTGTGATTTTGTGTGTAATCATTAGTCAGTGCACTAATGGAAGGAGTCAGTTGCTTAATTAAAAAAAAGAAGGATATAATGTATTCAACCTTTGCTAACTTCTGCTTAGATGTTAATAAGTTTTAACTACCTAATCTCTGACTTCCAGCAATCACGTTGTGAATGTCGTCATAACACGTGCGGTGAATCTTGCAGCAAGTGTTGTCCACTGTTCAACCAACTTCCGTGGCGTCAAGGAACGCAATCCCGTCCTAATATTTGCCAACGTATGTTCATTTTACACCCGCATCTGGAAATTAAATCTAATGGTGTTTTTAATTTCTTCTTTAATTTAGCCTGTCAATGTTTTAACCACGCGACTCATTGCGAATACGATGAAGAAGTGGAACGACTAGGTTTAAGCGTTACTCCGGAAGGTATCTTCGAAGGTGGTGGGAGGTGTGTTGCTTGTAAAGTGAGTCCTTTATCGTTTCGGCATTTCTTCTTCAATAATATAACTTACTTCATTGGTTTCAAAATTAATATTAGGGACATTTCACTAAATATCCGCCTTAATTCCAGCACAACACTGATGGAATAAACTGTGAACGTTGCTTATGGACATACTTCCGACCTTCGGGTGTCACCCACTATCGAGAAGATGCATGTCGACCCTGCGATTGTGACCCGATTGGTTCCGAACATAATAACTGCGTTCGGGACGAGACCAGCGCAGATGGTGATCAAGTAAGTTGCCAGTATCAACTTATCAAACAAAAATGAATTTATCAGACCAGAGGAAACGAATGGCAGTAATTCATCCAGTAAGTTGTTGATAATAGTAGGTTTTGCACTCGGACTAATACATTTTGAATTCAAATTTTTGTTGTAAGAAATTCGTATACAGAAACCGGGCGACTGTATCTGCAAACCGGGATTTGGTGGGCGTCGATGCGATGTTTGTGCACCGGGATACCGGAATTATCCGAAGTGCGAACCGTGCCCTTGTAATCGAGCTGGTTCTCTAAATTTTAACACGTGTGAGGAGGAACAGTGTATTTGCAAGCCAAATGTAGAAGGTCTTTATTGTGATCGATGCAAGGTCCGTTTCAACTTTCTAACCTTTCCTATATTTTCTAATATTTTTTCAGTCTCAAAATCAACTCATAGAACCATACGCACAATTCCATCTTTATCTATCAGTTCGTTAAATTTGTAATTGGGCTAGCTGAGGCTAAGGATTTGGGTCGGGTCTCCCACTCAGCACTATCAATTGCAAAATTCGTCACAGAATCAAAAAGTAACAAACTTAGGCAACAACAAACTTTCTTAGACAACTCAAGCAAGTTTGCTCGGGAAGATTTTGAAACTGGTAATTTTCTCATTTGCAGTATTACTATTAAATATAATAAACAATAATTACCTGAGAAATTATCAGAAGTAGGAAGACAGCGAACAAAGTTAAAGGCCAGTGGTCAAAGATTTAAAAAAAACAATTTCTACACGCTCATTTGCATAAAATTTGCAGGAAGGTACCATAAATCTGGACATGAAAAATCCAAAAGGTTGTCAACCTTGTTTCTGTTTTGGTCTTAGCAAAGAATGCCGTGAAAAGCAATGGAATCGTGGAGAGGTACATACGACTTATTAATATTCTAATATTCCGAGAACTTCTAAAGAATGAGTGGAGCGGAAATGTCCATATACTAATTGTCTTGTGTTTGAAGCCTATTTTCGTTTTTTTTCTTTTTTTAAATTTAAATTTTCATTTACATATTTATTTTTCTTTTTTTTATATTTTTTTTTACATATTTACATATTTATTTTTTATTTTTTATTACATATTTACATATTTGTTTTTTATTTTTTTTTTACATATTTACATATCCTCTAAAAGTAGTAATAGATCAAGGATCACTGTATTCTTCTTGCTTAAGGCTGCAACTTCTATTTTTTTTTTCTCTTAGTAACTTTTTGATATGACTTATCAATTGCTCCCAAATATTACATTTCATTGAATTCGTTAATCTTTCCCTGTTTATTTAACGATCTGTTCGATAAAATGAGGCTTGTGATTTTACAGATTCGGAGTACTACAAGTTGGATGTTAACGGATTTGTCAGGTGAAAAATTGGTCACACCGAAGTCAGAAAGTGAAGTATTGATGTACACCAACAGCGAATACAAAAACAATGAATTATATTATTGGAAAGCACCGAAGGAATTTAATGGGAATCTGGTATGTTGTCTTCTCCAGTAAATTCTGATTGAAGTTCGCTAGGTTCGTTTTCCACAGGATATGCCTGGTAGTAAATAATTATCAAACTAAAATTTATTCCTCTTAAGCTAAAATGTACGAAGTTAATTTCATCTGAGAGCTAGTTGTGTTTGATGACGTTACACGTAAATAATCACCATTATTTACATGCTTTCGCTTGTTTACACTTGAATATCAGGAAGTATCGGGCAAAATTAATAGCAAATAAAATTTACTTCGCAATTTCAGCTGAACAGTTACGGTGGAATTTTGCAATATTTTGTATATTTCGTACCAATGGGTGATGGCGAAGAAACATCTATTCCTGATGTTATTATAGAAGTTGGTTAGATTAAATAATTACTTTTCTGCTATTAATTTCCATGGTCAGTTTGTTGGGCTGTTTCTTTTTTTTTGATGTTTACAAGGATTTTCTCGGGATTTCTTCGGGTGGTGTAGGAGTGTGAAAAAAGCGAAAGAATTTAGATGAAAAGCAAAGGATATAAATTAGGATTGTATTTCAAGATATTATAAGTATAACGCCATTATTTACGTGCTTTCGTTTGTTTACACTTGAAGACTTACCAAACAGACTTACTTTCAGGGTAATGGCATAAAATTGGAATACTATAGTCGACAAAACTTCTTCCCGAGAGAGAATATCAGCATTCAGATAGTTATGAGAGAAGGTAGCGGATGGCATAATTCGCATATGCGTACGCTTACTGATAAGCATGAAATGATGCGTGTTTTGGCTGATGTTAACACAATGATGATACGAGCTATGTATAACAAGCAACAAATACAATCAAGGTAGCTTGTCATAATCAAATCATTTCACTACGTCTAATGTTATCGATAGCATTGTGTATTCAGCAAACTTATCGGTGAAAGTTTATAAAGAGTGATTATCTTGAATGATATGTTTATAGTTGTATACGTTTTTGTGTTCTCATTCAAGTTATTTCTTTATTATCTTTTTATAGTATTTATGGACTAAAGCTGGACACAGCAATTGAACTCAAAAGTACAGCCGATGGTACAGAAGAACTATTGAGACCATCGCAAATGTTCAATGCCCTGATGCGTGGCGTTGAAATATGTCAGTGTCCCGAATATTACGCTGGCAACAGTTGTGAAGTAAGTAATCTACATAGTGAATGGATTTCTCACATTTTCACATAAAATACCACTGTCTTGTTTATATTACACATTTTTCCAGAAACCCTTAGCACATAACTTTTTCTTACAGCGCTGTACATTGGGATATCGCAGGGTAAATAATCAACTGTTCGATGGTCGTTGCGAGAAATGTAATTGTGAAGGGCACTCCTTTGAATGTGATCCCTTCACGGGTGATTGTATAAACTGTCAAGTAAGTAGTATTGGAACTCGATTAATTACGAAAAATAAAGACAATGAATGATTTCATTTAGTTTACACAGCAAATGATTTATCAAAAATTTATGAAATAGTTGAAAATTTTGTTGTTATTCGATGACGAAAAGGTTGTTAATTTCCCTTTGTCCTAACATGTCTAAATGTTTTCATGGACAATGTATGGAAGTAATGTCAACTTTGTTTTCGTCCTTTGTTTGTCATCTTTTTCTGTCACTGTTTTCTTTCTGTAGTATTTGTTACCTTTACTGCGATGCTATGCAGCGATAGCTCATCCTTGTAGTTCCATTCAAAATTTCACTTTAATTTCACTTGTCCATTTCTTCCTTTTATTATTTATAATAATGATAATGATAAAGAATCAAGTACGATTTCAGCATAATACAACTGGCCGTCGGTGTCATCAGTGTTTACCTGGACACTATGGAAATCCATCTCTGGGTGGCGAACTTGGTCAATGTCGTCCATGTGCATGTCCAACTATCGAGAACAGTCATTCTGCAATGTGTAGCCTAACGCAGCTTATTGTTGGAGGTGCTGCAGCTTATGGTGAGGACGCGTACGTTTGCACGGCTTGTGATCACGGTTACGATGGCAATAAGTGTGAAATGTAAACTTTTGGTGGTTTTTATGTGATCACTGCTAAAGTTTGATGGATAAGAGTTTCTTCCAGTTCCTTGCATTTGTCGATGCAAACTCGATTTCATGGAATTTTGCAAGAGGTTAATTAATAAAAAATAAATAAATTTTTAACTTTTTAACATGAACTGAAAAGAACGAAATTTTGCAGTTGTGCTGATGGTTTCTTTGGAGATCCACTGACAGAGAATGGTACTTGCGAACTTTGTGATTGTAACGGTAATATCGATCCAATGGCTATTGGGAACTGTGATCGGAAAACAGGGAAATGTTTGAAATGCATCTATAACACAGCTGGTGATCACTGTGAAGAATGCAAGGAGAATCACTGGGGTAATCCGAAGGATAAGTCTTGTCGACCTTGCGGATGTCACCCTAAAGGTGCTCGTTCCGCCACGTGCAACAAATCAACTGGCGTTTGTGACTGTCATAATAATTATGTGGGTATGCAGTGCAATCGATGTAAGGTAAATTTGAGATAATAGGAACAAAGTTGTAAGGCTTAAAAGCTGGAGGAACTTTGACCTGGCTTAACAAAGTTTACAAATTATTTTTCAGGATGGACATGGTGACATTGAAAACAAGTGCCCTGCATGTAATTGCAATATGACCGGTTCCTTTAGCAGTGAATGTGATGAAGTATCCGGCCAAGTCCGTCTTTTTCATTGTTTGAAATATATATGGAGCAAATCCTATTTATTACCAATTCAAATAAAGTATGAAATAACTTGAGGTGTTAAAGATTAGTAAGAATTTGATCTGAATGTCTTGCTTTATGTAAATTGGCCACAACTGTGTAGTGTAGAAGACTAGGATAGGAATGAAAAGCTTCAAATGAGCCAAGAAAACACTGTGCATACTGTACACTTAAGAAGACTAGCAATTTGACCCAAAAAATAACATGATTAGCAGATAAAATGACAGAAATCTCCTCATCATAAATCTTTCCCAATAGAGCGATTTAGATGGCACACCAATAAGCCAGGAAAATCATAGTTTTTATCTGCACTTCATGTGGGCAAAGGTTTAGATAAAACTTTTTCAGTGTGCTTGCAAGACAGGAGTATTTGGGAAGCAATGTGACATGTGCAGAGCAAGTTATTTTAATTTTTCCGAGAATGGCTGTCAATTTTGTCATTGTAATTCCTTCGGTGCGGTAGATGATGGCCGTTGTGATAATGTCACGGGAAAATGTGAATGTCGCGAAAATGTCAAAGGCAAAATGTGTGAAAAATGTGCGGATGGTTATTTTAATATAACTAGCGGGCTGGGATGCCAGGTAAGGTGATACTGTTTTCCAGAAATGTTTATGTTTTCCCTCCTTTATTCAAGCCCAAGTTTTGCGGTTCCCATATTCATTTTGTACTTTTATAGGCTTCTTAGTATTTTTACTTCAGTAAAAATTATCAGGTATGCGCTTGCGATCCATTAGGTTCGGAAGGCATCCAATGTGATACACATACAGGTCAGTGTGCTTGCAAATCTGGAGTTATTGGGTTGAAGTGTGACAAATGCGCCCCGAATCATTTTGGATTAGATTCAAATGGATGTAAAGGTTATTTACTTTTTTATGTTTTCATTGCGCGTCTGATGCTTGATTATGGTCAAGCAAAATAAAATTCAATGTTTTTTTCCACTTTCCTATTTCGAATTTAAATGATCTTAAAATCCAAGCATTCACACCACAACTCAAACTATTTACAATGTCTTGATTGGTACCAATTCCAAGTCTATTTTTCTTTTCTGCAGAATGTCGTGTTTGTCCAGCACCTGGTCATATCTGCCACTCAACAACTGGAGAGTGTATCTGCCCACGTAACACCATCGGTGAAATGTGTGAAAACTGTTCCAATAATGCTTGGAATTACGATCCATTGAATGGTTGTACGCTCTGTGATTGTTCCGGTATCGGAGCTGATGGACCGAATTGCAATCCGGAGAATGGACAGGTGAAGCAACTGTTAACTGGTACATTAAGCATCTGAGTGGAAAATATTGCTGTGTATCCATTGTTTTCAGTGCCATTGTCGAGTGGGTTTTGTTGGTCTAAAATGCGATCGATGCATTCATGGACATTTTAATTTCCCGCAGTGCGAACTATGTAACTGTGATCTATTGGGAACTGATCCAACAACTTGTAAAGATGGTGCTTGTCTCTGTGATGAGATTGGACAGTGCAGCTGCAAGGTAGTGTGTATTTCATATGCTTCGTTCAGTTTATTAGAGTCTGTTAAGGTTAAATCTTCTTTATAACTTGAAGATGTGTTTATTAGACTATATGGCAAATATATTCCAGAAGAATGTGATAGGATTGAAATGTGATAGCTGCGACGCATATAGCTTTAGTCTAGAGAAAAGCAATTTATACGGTTGCACCGATTGCTTTTGCTTTAATCGTACCAATTTCTGCGTGCAAAGCAATCTAGTATGGCAACAGATTTATGCACCTGATCGTCAGGTAACAGCAACTTCTGCAACGCGGCTAGTTTTTTTTTTTTTTTCGCATTCAATACGTATTTTAATAAGACCTTTTATGTTTTTATTGGATTGAGAAATATGATTTATTTAATGATGAAAATTACTGGTGTAGCAAATTTGATACTAAATTTTTTTGGTACAAAAATCATGTTTGAAAATTTTCAATTTCTCTTCAATTAAGGTAATATTCTCAGAACCATGGAAATATTATACACGTAAACATAATCTAAATGTGCTTAGAGAGCATCCACCGATATACAACAGTTATCCGACAGACATTACGCCTCTATACTGGTATGTTTGGAAAATATTTTGATATCAGTTCGTAGGACAAAGTGATTTGCTGTAGGGGGCCATCGTTCAAATGCGAAAGTTTTGAAGAACAAAAAATTTGAATGGCTTCTTTTTCGAACTTTGATTGGAAACTATTTCTGCAAATTCATAAAACATGTAAAAATGAAAGTAGGAAATGAGGGGACAGTTCTCTAGATTCTGGTTTGCTTATGCGTTAGATAAAAGATATGAATTTCAGGCCTCTTCCACCGAGTTTGTTGGGTGATCGAACGGCATCCTATAACGGGTTTATTCGTTTTACAATCAAAAATGATGATAACTATCGCGGTGTCACCAATGTGGCACCTGATCCACAGCACTTCCGTTTCTTCCCGCAAATTATCTTGGTAAATCTCGTTTTTATCTGCTGTTTCTTTATTGATAGAACCGAGGATAAAAGAAACGAGGGGAGGAATTTGAATAATCTTAATTAAATTTTGATTCAAAATTCGAATCATCCTTGTACGCTGTAGTTGATATCAAACTTATCCAACAAACAGGTCGGCAATCATCGCATCATTCTGGAACATACTTCTGACGAAGTGAACCAATTGGGACGCTACAAAATTCGTTTGCATGAAAGTCAGTGGCGTTCACGTTTGAGTCCTGACGTGCCAGTAACACGCAAGCAGCTAATGATCGCCTTGCAAAATCTCCAAGGCATCTACATCAGAGCTACATACAACTACCCATCCACGTTAATTTTTCGTAAAATTCCATTTATTACTTTCAGCAAGATGAAAATATACGATATCAGCTTTACCATATCAGCTCTGCTACATGAGATTTAAGTCAGAACCACTAATACGAGAATAAATAGATTTCAGGGGCGATACAGCTTCTATCAATGAAATAAGTATGGATGTAGCAGTATGGGAAAATGCCACCGATGCTTCAAATTTAGTAGCAATTGGTGTGGAGCTATGTGAATGTCCTCAGGGTTACGCTGGTAATTCATGCCAAGATCCAGCGGAAGGTTATTGTCGGAAAAGGCAGTCTGATTTCTTGAATAGTCCAGATGATTTAGCATTAGTGGGAGGAACAGAGCAATGTGCATGCAATGGGCATTCAACAACATGTGAAGCAGAAACTTGCAGATGCACTGTAAGACATATACCTCATCAAATTATTGTTGAAAATTACAGAGGTTGAAAGAGTACTAGTGGTCAATGAATCATAAATATTTCAAAATTCACTGAAGTTATTAATCTTTGTATTTTCATAGCATGCGCCATCATTTGTCATTGTGAAAAATACTGATTGTTTCAGAATTGTGAGCATAATACATACGGTGATTACTGTGAACGTTGCAAGCCAGGCTATCAAGGAGACGCATTGGTTGGTGGCGCAAATGCATGCACGAAATGTGCATGTCCGTTGCCGGACAATAGCTTTAGTGACACCTGCTTAGCAGTAGGTTATGGCCGAGGATACATGTGTGATGCTTGTAAACCTGGATATATAGGTCAGTACTGTGAAAACTGCCTGACTGGGTACTACGGTAATCCGAATGCAGTGGGCGGTATGTGTAAGGAATGCGCATGTCATCAGCACGGTTCGGTTCATGGAATTTGCAATCAGGCAAGCTTGTCATCATTTCTTTTTTTGAAAATATTACCGCATTATTCATAAAGATTGAAGGAGCAATTTTTTTCAAATTTTGAAAAAAGCGTTGTACACTGACAGAGTATATTACGCAACGTGTTTCATTCAACATTAATTAACTGATAATTTGCTAACTTCTATCTTCAAAAATGTACCTTTCATTTAGAAGACAGGCCAGTGTGAATGTCGACCAGGTTTATCCGGTCGAGATTGCTCCTTATGCAAAGATCGGCATGCATTCATTAGTGGTGTCTGCACCTCATGCGATCAAGGCTGTACCCGTGATTTAATGAAAGAAATGGATGAATTAGAAGAAATTATGGAACAACAGAATTTCACAAGTTTAAGACCGGTCCCATGGAAACGCGTTGCTCGGATAAGTAATACAACAAAAGGTATGTTTCTATAAATACTGTCTAATGTGTTGGATTGCTTTGGGAGCAAGGCAGAAGTGTCTAAATCGCCGTCTCAAAAAGTCTTAATTTTGTGCTCTGACCTCCATGCATAATCTTTAAGATCGATTATTTGTCGTAAAGGTCCCGAACACGAAAACCATTAGCCAATCGTTTGTTTCAGATTTGTATTTAACTTTGGATTCGCTACATTTGGAAAATTCTGTCGGAGAAGATAAAGATAAAACTGACATTGGCGTGGATGATAACTTCTTAAACGAAGTTAACGGACTGATAGAGCAAACGAAATTTTTGCTGGAACGAACTAACAAGTCCAAAAATTCCTTGCAAAAAAGCACTACCAAAACTGAAGGATTATCAGCGAGAGTTCGAGAACAGGACAAAATTCTTCGTGAGGTCATCAGTCAGCTACGACATTACATAAATTACGGATTTGGGAAACAGGACAGCTCAAAGATCAGTATTTGGATTCAGGAAGCAAATACTTATGTGAACGCAATGAAAGAACGTGGAATCTACATCGAGAAACGTTACAATCGTGGAAATACCGATTTCGAGTTAGTTATTCTGAAATGTTTTATCAATTTATTGCTTGATTTTCAAATGATATTTTCAAGAAAAGCTTATTGCATCATTTAGAAAGACATAAAATATGCTTGTGTTGAATATATTTGGAAGTCATAAAAAGACATTGTAAAACAATTTTAAAAGAAAAACTGAAAAACTGGGAAAGAAACTGTGTGCATTTCTACATTTTGAATCTCTTCAGATAATCAAGGTAATGTGCAAATAGCCCTTCTTATCCATTGGGGATGCCTGAGCAGCAGAGTATTGCAGGAAATCTCAAGACTTGATGAAGCTGATAACATCACGTATGTTGAACCATACCTCATTCGTTGAGTTGCGAGAACAACTGGATGTCTTTGGACAGTGGTTGCACAGTTATCGAGATACCATTTGGGATAGAGCGCGTCAGGATACCATATCCTCTGATAAAGTAGCAATTATAATAGCGAAACGGGTGGATCGATTTAATGCCGTAAAAGCGAATATCAGTGAATTATTAACTAAAGCAATCGATGAACTAAGTGAAGCAGAAAACAAAGTGTCGACAGCGAAGACAGAAAAAATTTTGACAATGTTCGATGATTTCAAGGTCTTTGCTCGCAATATGTTTAGAACCAAGCGCATCTGCTATGATAATTTTAAAAAATGTATAGGTGAGAATTAAACAGCCTTGAAGAACTATCGCCTATTCAAAATTTTTTCTCAGGAATACGAAAATTCCAGCTGATGCTTCGGATGTCGAATGTCATGTGCTGTTGTTCCGAAAATTTTCGGTTCTTCCCGTACAAAATACTCGAATTAGTGGTTTTGATTTCCCCCATTACTAAATACTTGGAGCTTTTATTTTCAGCTCATCAATGAAACGCTATTACCGCAAGTAGATGAAATGACGAAAAAATGCCGCAATGAAGCAGACAGATATGGGCAACTTCTGGATGAATATCGTGAAGAGTATGTAAAAAAAAGCGAACATCACGCAGCAAAGCTGGAGGATGAGGCACAAAAATTGCGAAAGTAAAAAATAACAGTTCTTTTAGGAATATTTCATCTTACATGAGTAACTAAGTTTTGAATCTTTTTTTCATGTTTTTTTTTTTCAGATTACTATTCAATATTAGCATATATGCATGAAGTCTCATTAATTTAGCTCTTTTGCGGATACGAAGAATGCCGCAGCAGATCCACTTCGAGCATCCAATGCTTACAAGGAAATTGTGGAAGCTTTACGGAATGCCAGCAAAGCAGCAGAAGGGGCGAAGAAAGCTGCGGAGTTTGCATTTGCTGATGCCGATCCGAAATCTGAGATCTCAATGGTTAACATGGCGCTGCAGACTAAGAATCGCAGTATGGTTATTAAGGGACAAGCCGATGAACTTAGCTTGAAAGATTTGGAAAACGAACACTTGGCAACCAATATAGTGGCAAGTGAAATGAAGGAAACATTGCAGAATTCAGTGAAACGAAAACTAGCGATAAGTAAGTTTGGACTATCATTCTAAAATTTCGTACTTTCTCCGTTCAAAAGAATTAAGCAACGGTAAACGTATTTCGCTTCTATAAGGTCAAAGGAAGTAAAAGTCAGATATCTTAAGTCTCAGTCGTCAATTACCAATTTTTCAACTTCTAGGTGACTTATCCGTGAACCTCCGTTTTCCTAATTATAATAATTCGAAATTCAGGTGAACAGTATCAGTCATTCGATGACCAACACGACCGAATGACTGGATTGATCAGTGTAGCTGATGATGCGGAAAAACGGGCCGAAAGTATACATCAGAAAATGCAGGAAATATCTGTTGAAATTGATACAATGAGCAGTGCTGTTTCGAAGCTGAAAGGTTTTGCTGGTGAGGGCATCCGAAATGTCACCAATGATGGTAAGTTTTAAACTGTTGTACATCGTAAAACTTTTGTTGTAAGGAATCTGCAAGAAAATGTCGTGTCTGAGGTTGCGAAATCATTAACGAATTCATTTCTCAATTTTTCAAGAACTTTGAAAATTTCCTATGTTTTATACTTCTTGACATTTCAATATGTAAAAATTAATGAAGATCTACGATTCATCACTTTAAATTTGCAGTACTCTTATCAGGCGTTCATGACTTAAGATTATTTATTTCAAGCTTTTGACCACTAACTCTTCGCGGTTCAGACTATGAACTATTGCTTTAGTTTTAAAGTTGCAAATTTTAGTACGTAAAGCTAATCAAGGAGCACAGGAAGCGATGAAAAAAGTTTCTGAAGTGAAGAAGCAAACAGATAAAGATTCAAGACGGATCAATGTTTTGGGGGAACAGATTAAATTATTGCAGGAAAAAATCAAAGAAGCACGAGAGAAAGCCTCACGCGTGAGTAAAGTTCTATTCTCGATGAGTATTAGTCCGATGTCATAATCTTTACGCTTACAACAAATATCTTACTTTTCATTATTTTTAACGCTTGTGCAAATTTTCCGTTTGTTAAACATTCGCCAGTTGAATTTGTTTTGCTTTACTGCTAATAATTTCCTAATGGTGAAAGAAAATATCGATATAAGCAAATTTCAAATAGTTTGTTCGCTACAGATCCGAATTTCGTTGAAATCCGATGAAAAAGGTGATTGCCGCCGTGCTTTTATCTCACCCGCACATCTGGCTCCAACTAACTTATTTACTATCAAATACCGTCCTTTACGGAATGTTCCGGATTCGTTGCTGTTCTTGACAAAAACAATGACTAAGCGTACTCAGCAATCAGAGTATATCGCAATGGAACTAAGAGATCGACGTATCGTTGTACAGTGGAATATCGGTTCCGGTACACGAATGGCTACCAATACCCATACCATCAATTATATCGCGCCAAGTGACAGAAGTGCCTGGTACCATATAGTATTAGAAAGGTGAGCTGACCTCTTCTGGCAAATTTGTTCCGTTTCTCTTTCATTTCTGTCAGCTAATAAAATGGATTACTAACTTACACATGTCCTTCAACAAAGGTAAACCATTGTTGAGAAAGTAAGCATCACTCTTGATTCACTGTTTTCTAGGATTGGAAATTCAGTGAAGCTGACTGTGGCATTGCATCATACAATAAGTGGTGAAGGTGAACGAACGGTTGGTGAACCGACTGCCGTATCAGTGGGTCATCCGGACGAGGATGATAGCATCATTTTCAATACGGTACATGGTGAAACGCTGATTCAGTTTGGTATCGATGCAAAACTTTCGCAGGATTTGGGTTTGGCAACTAATAAGTTCCTGGGTACCATTGGTGAATTTACTGTTGACGGTGAAACTTTGCCGCTTTGGGCATTTGCAAAAAGTAGCAAAGTTTGCGAAGGAGATTTCGCTGCACCAGAAAGTCAAGCTACCGGTTATTTTTTCCGGCAAGTTTCCTGTTCGAAAATTCATTTAGCACAAATTACGCTATTGTATATATACACATGACATACTCACGAAGCACATATATAGACATAAACAATTTTTTAATATAATGGAATGATAATTTTATTGTCGCAAAAAGCGATCCTAATTAATTTGCCTTTTAGTGACGGTTTTGCACAAATTCATCTTCCCTCGACAGAACGGCCAAGTGGAGCGCAAATAACAGTGATCTTATCAGCTTATTCACCAGATGGTTTGCTATATTTCCGTGGCAATCGAGAAAATGGAGATTTCATCTGTTTGGAATTACGTGATGGACATGTCCTTTTCAGGGTACTTTATTTCTTATCAATTTACCCGTCCTTTTTTCTCTGCTTCTCTATTAATTGAAATCTTGTCTCGTTTAGTTTCAAATCAATGTCTCAGCTATCTGCATTTACGTGATGAGAAAATTTACAAAGAGGAAATTAGCTGTCATATCAACATTGCTCTATAATCAATTGTCAGTCCTTAATTGTTCTGAGATAATCAACAAATAGAGAGAAAGTTCTTTGTAATTTACTGCATTGGATCGATTTACTTTGATCATTGAAGAATGATATTTAGATTAATCTTGGCGATGATTCATATGCAATCGTCAAATCCAAGAAATCATCGTACGCCGATGGACGCTCACACACTGTTCGTGTCATTAGGAACTATGAAAAAATACATTTGCAGGTTGTTTTTTTTTTTGATTTTTGTTATTCAACTCAAAGGAAGTTAAGCTTCCTGTCAACTTGTAAATTAAGTTATCAAACATACTGCAATACTTAGATTATCAATTTTGACCCATGAATATGACAATTTCCGTGATAATCCTAGCAAGATAACAGAGAAGATAAAAGGGTCCACTTTCGAAATGTGTAGTTCTTGGTGACCGCAAAATTTTCAGGTCGATAACGAAAGCGATCGTAATTCTGCAACGATACTTGGTCAAAATGCAAGACTAAATATTAACGGCGATGATCATTTTGTGGGTGGCGTCCCACCAGGCTTCAATATTACTCCCTTCCAGCATTTCGATATCCACTGGAGTGGATTTTTTGGCTGCATTCAATCAGTCCGACCCTCCCAAGTACTTTTTTTTGTTCCCTGCGTTTAACTTTTATCCACTCATAACTTTAAACTCCAAACTTTTGGTTTTTGGTTCTCCAGCTTAAAAATATTGAAATGAATCTAACCGTTATTCAGAAAAATGTCTAACGGACTTTAATTAGTAAATATTTTTGACTGCAACATATTCTGTAGTTGTCTCCTGAATTACTGATTCTAATTGATGTCATGCGCTTGTATGCGTTGCAAAACATTTTAACCTGACTGCCATAATCATCAATTTCAGGTTGCAGAACTAGATCTTGACAATCCAATACGTTCACAACGTAAGTTGCGTGGATGTAATTTTAGAAATGGTGAAAGGTTGGAACCAACTGATAGAGTGGTTGGCTTCAGTCGTCCAGGTTATCTGGTCATTCAAGGAATTCAACTCAGCAATAATTCCACGTGTGTCGCTTTCACCAAATTATTCGTTGCGATTGTTAAAAATTTTGACTTTTTTCTTTATGAAATCCCTAAAATGATGAGAAAAATGGAACTTGAAATCAAATAAATGAACTAAATATGAACTAAATACGGCATAAGAAACGCTGATTTCCAGTTCTTTTTAGGTTCGCATTTGCATTTCGCACAAAGACTGCCAATGCTACATTGTTGTTCCAGTCAAGTGAACTGGAAACTTTCAGAAAACGTCGAAAAATTAGGGATTCTTTTGGGACCGTTAGTTTTCATTATTTTTCTACTTTTAAATCTACCACTTAAAGTCATCTTGATTGTTTTCATTAAGATAATTCTTCAAATCTGTCGGCATTTTTGGAAGGCTATAGAAAATTCAGTCTTCATTTAAATAAAAGACGATTCCTGATAGCTCAGAAATGCTGTTAATCAGGGATACCTGGCATTTTACCTGTACCGCGGCTACTTGGTTGTACATCTCGGCACCGATTCATCACAGAAAAGTAAAGTGCTCACATTGAGATCTGAAGTGACCTACAACGATGGACAGCTTCACTCCATCTTTTTCACTCGTTCCGAAACATTGTTAGTTTCAAAATATTCGTCAAGAATAGCTTTAACTTCAAATGGACTGGCTGAGATTAGTATTCTGGGGATGCTAAGGATACCAGTCCGTACTCCACCGTATCCGGTATGATATGTCCTCTTTAGTTTTGATAATAGGAAGAGGTAAATGATTCCATTGCAAGAACTATGCTGATAATGAGATATTATGTGCATATCACAAACTACATTAAAACATCGGCTTAGAAAAATGGTAAAAGTTAATGAAATGATGTTTGTATAGAGTTCGACTTCGAGTTGATGATCGAGAAATAGCATCTGGTACTCTTGGCGAACAGAATACTATAGGAACTACATTATCACAGTTGTTCATTGGTGGATTCCCAGATGGGATAAAGCCATCAGCTAATGAAATGCCAATCGCCGAATCTATGATTGGATGTGTATCGAATCTTTTTGTTAATTATCGGTTACTTTATTCCTTTGTTTTTTTTTTTTTTTTTCTACTATTCAAAGGGAAAGGAACCATCAATGATTTAAGAGCATAAGAATTAATTGGTAGAAGTTATCACTGCTGATAAAAGCCTAAACGTTATCATCTTAAACATGCATTCTTCTCTCTATCAAATGACATACTGTACTAAATAACCATGCGATTTGATAATCAGTATACGGTAGAGTGATCGATGTTAATCTTAGATGTATGCAAAATTTTATTTGATTTAGTTGAAGAAGTGATAATGATGTGCGTTTATGCCGAATCTTAACTCATTATCTCTTCATTGAACATTTTTTATTCTTGCAACAAAAGCTGTATAGCAAAACCAATTACAGACTTGTTCCAATTATACCGGAAGCGCACATCGCCATAATTGGTACCTGCTCAGTGGAACAAATTTTCTCATTACAGAAATCAGGTAACAAATCTAGTTAAGCTTTCATCTTATGTTGTACAAGACTCATTACAGCATTCTATGAATCTCTACTCTAGGCCATTCACGTTTGATAAACTGCTTGAAAATATTACCAATTGTTCAAGATTCCAGAGATTGGTTGGGTATTTGATAATTGCAGAACAAGTTCACTTTCCATTCAAATTAAAGAATCAAGTTAGAGTGTACTAAGGTGCTTTCTCGCACTTTTATGAACGTTTAAAAAGAGTAACTTAATTAATAGTGGGGCCTTTTTTTTTGCTTTTGTCGCATTTATACTAGTTAATTTGATATCAGTTGACCTTTTTTCTCTTTCTGTTTTGCTTCAGGTTAAGCTATTCAATCTTATTGCTAATTCAAATAATTGAAGTAATCATGAAGATTAAAAATCATCCATTGGTTAGAATACTAAATGTTAAACTTAAAATCACTTTCTATTTCTCCAATCTATTATGTATGTATCTTTACTGAGAATTTGTGCAGGAAATGTTTTCACCCGTAGAAATTATTCTTTTACACTAAATTTGTGTGTTTGTCGAACTTTCTGTAGAACGGAGAGCAGATGTGGAGGCATTGCAAGCAGACGAACAAAATGCTTTCAATCGGAAAGCATCGAAACTTTCCTTGCATCTAACAGAGCCGACATTGATCAGCAAAACCGAACGCCTATATGCGGATGGTAATAATAGTGATATTGATGTGATGTGATATGATAACGACTATCTTTTTACAAATACAGAATGCACTATCACAAAGCGCCTTTGCACCTTATCACTTTTTTAATAGCAATCATTGCACTTCAACCATATCAGTGATAGACAGGGTGGGAAGGAATATCGATAATAAAAGGTTTAGGAGATATTACTGTTCATTCAAGTTGTATTAAGAAATTTACTTAACATGGCGGAATATAGACATAATATGGGGAATAATAGGTGGCACAAATGCTTTCTGTATTTCTTCAGTGTGCACAGCAATATAAATAAGCTTAGCCACTTTTCCTTGGGACACATCCCATCAGGTAGCATCAAATAACTTGATGTCGCATGCTGTGATGAAAAATAGGAAATGGAGTATCCAACTCCATCTTACAGCGCTTCTATGCGAATGCGTTATCATTTTGCTTCTTTTGCAAATATATTATTTTCTAGCCTTTTTTATAGCCATCGTTCCAGTTTATTACTTTTTGATATTGAAATAACGAAACTTTGATCTCTCTTAATTCGAATAATCTTCAATCACATTTAATAGTACAAACACTTATCATTTCACTGCATGAACAGACCTGCACGAAATTTTTTGAGTAATTTCCTGAAATGCAGGATCAGTCAAAACAAATCCAGTGAATATCAGAGAAGCCATTAACAAGCCAGAAGAATCAGAATCAATTGATTTGAAGCATTCCACAGTAACGACAACTGCTAGAACTTCCATTGCCATTCCTACTGCCGGAACTCTAATCGAATTGACGGAAAAAAAAGACGACGATGATGATGTTGATGATGCTACTGATTTGGCCAGTTTAACATATTTAGGTCCGGAAAAGGTAACTTTTTTGACAAATTCGCTGAGAAGTCAAAGCGAAAGGTTCTTTTATATCATTTTAGATGCAAATTGACTCGGTAGGTTTGTAGCTTAAATCTATTTAGTTATTTTACCAGAATTGTTGAAACTTCAAATTAAAAAAAAAATTGCAGTGCGGTCCAGATCTGTTAGCTAAGAATGATGGCGAGGGTGCAGCACAATTTGGCATAGCGGAAGCGAGCCACTCAAGATTGAACTTCGAGGAAGATAATTTGGATGTCAACCAGTAAGTCCGTTTTCATACTCTATTCCTGGGATATCCGGTCCAAAAGCCGGCACGAGATTGATTGTGAATGAATAATTTTATCGCAAATAATACATAGGTATATTGTATTGTGAAATATTTCAAGATTCAAAATCGAATTTGCATTCCGTACAGTATTACCAAACGGGATGTTGTGGATTTGGGCAAATTATAGCAATTATACCCATTATTTCTTCTTAAATATGATCAGTGGATTGCTGCAACTTCAGGTATGAATTCTAGGATTTCACTAATTAAACTCAAGGAAATTTGAAGAAGAGAAGGAAGGTGTTACTCATAAAACCATGAAAGAATAAATTTGGAGAAGGAAGGTGTTATTCATAAAACCATGAAAGAATTTTAGGTTCGAGGACGTAAAGAACCAAAAACTCTGATGTACAAATCGAACAAACTGAATGATGGAAAATGGCATGATATTAGTATGTTAAAGCAAGGACAAGAAATTTTGCTCAAGGTACTTTCTACTTCTTTTATAGTGCATTTCGCAACAGCGCTGTCATTTTATTCCATACTGTACACTTCTCGGTACTGAATGTGATAGCTTCTGCAAAGGTTTCCAAGAAAGTTGCTTATGGCATTTGTCGAAATAAAAAAAATCGAGTTATTCAAGGTAGATCGCAATCCGGCGCAGTACATGAAAAATGTCCCAAATCTGAAAATGATGCGTAAACGAATGTATGTAGGTGGAGTCATTTCAAGACACCGGAAACAATTCAATTTAACAATACCCTCATTTTCTGGATGTATCAGGTTTACGATTTTTTCTCTTGTGACTTCCTTAATTGAAAATAAAAATAAGCTTACTTAGCGCTTTTAAAGGATTTTTCTTTTAATGCGTAGGACTCAAGTTTGAAATCTGTGTAATTGACAATTTAAAGTGAATTGAATGAGGGCATCATTAGTGAGTTGATAATATTCATGAAAACTGGAGGTAATATTTGAACTTTGACCGCAAACTTAGTGAGGATTAAGTTTAGCATACAACGAGTATAAGTAATTTGACGTAGCAAAATATTAGAATGCATCTCGTTTCAGAAATTTTGAAGTAAACGACGTTCAACAAGACTTATTTGAAAAAAGTCGTCGTGTTTTACCATGCATCGTTGCTTCCAATTCAGCATACATTCACGAAGGCGGATATATGACGTTTGGTATGTTACCCTCGAGTAATGAGATTAACATCTCATTCGTCATATCAGCATGATATATTCAGTATATGTCAATTCTCAAATTTCTAAGAATGTGTGATTGGAAACCTGTAAAATATCGCCAATGATTGTTTAGTTTCATTATCTCTCTATCTTGTGGACTTCTCCACTTTAAATTCACCATGCAAAATTTTAACGGACGAAAGTCATCAATTAAGCTTAAGAATTACTTATTACAGGATCATTAAAGTCTCTTCGTCAACTCCGAAATATTCAAATTTCGATGCAGTTCCGACCTGCTGTAAAAGATGGATTCATCTTCGGTTTGGTGACGAACAAATATCCAGAAAACACACGAATTGCTATTTATCTTAAAAATGGCTTGGTTATTTTTTTTCTTTTTTTTTTGTAAATATGTCATGATGACAGCAATCGCATGTAGAGATTGTGATGTAGACGGATGTAGAGATGCAACTGTGACAACCGCGTAATTCACATAAAGCGGTTTAGGAAAGCTGTGTTATTTCTTTTCAGCTAATATGGTACTCTTGCTTTACCTCCATATAATTTATAAATACAATTATTTGATCTATATATGTAACTTGAAACGTCGTCATTCGGTTTTGATGGAAGAGTATTTCTGGGCAACTATTTCAGATGACCTTCGAACTCGTATGCAACAATGAATGTCGCGATCTGAAGCACGTTTTTAAAAAAGATCTGTGTGATGGCACTTGGCATAATGTCACCCTTTCTATATCACATTCAAATATGATTGTCATCACAGTTGATGGAGTTTGTTTCCAGATCTTTCGCTACTGATCGTTTAGAGAAATATGTGTGATCTTACTTTTAAAATTCCCACGTGAAAGATCATGAGAGCGATACAGTTATGAAGCAATAAATTTCAGCATCGGAAACGCTTACCGTCGAAGATGAGCTCCAAATCAGTAGAGTTTTTCCGAAGTTTGCCGATATACGTTGGCGGAGTAACTGGTTTGTTTTCATCTATTACTTCACGTGGTACACAACTCATTTTTTATTAAATGGAAGGAGGAAAACAACTTTAATCCTGTAAACCGGAAGAATTGTTTCATAGAACGATGATACATTAGTTTTTGTGCTCCAAATAATGTCTTATTGTTGCAGCATTGTCAGCTTCCAAGATTGGTGTGCTATCAATGATCGGTTGCTATCAAAATCTCCAATTTTACGGAAAGCTGGTGGCTTTCAAAGATGCCAAAAAGTTGAATAAAGTTCTGCCCGATGGTTGTCCATTTTTAAACTGAATAATCGCCTGCCATTCTCCATGAAATTTCACTTGAAATTTGTTGTTAATACGGTTAAGAAGTGGTAGAGTAAATGGTATGAAACTGAAACTTTTCACCAGACATGGCTAATCATCTGAAGAAATTTTCATGAATTTGTGTGGGAAACACCAGCAACACCAATACCCTGTCTCATAATATTTTTCTTTTCCTTCGTAATTCGATCAGTTCAAAGGATCTTTAGATGATTTACATTTCACTTTATTTACCGCTCGATAACTTCCTTTTACCCAAGTTTTTATTTCTTTGTTATTTATTTCGCTATCAGCTTCTTCCTTTCTCTCTACTACCGTCCAAAAATATGCTTCATCCTTATTTTGACAATACATTTTTAAAACATACACATAAGGATTTAATAATCGATATTGAATATTTTGATCAACAAGAAAAAACAGGAAAAAGAAAGTAAAATGCAGTACTTCCTATTGAACTTCGAAGTTTATAGCTAATTATTGCGAATAGCTAGCTATCCATTTCGAATGCTTTTGGATAAAAGGATAAAATGAATGTATATGACGTACAAATCATATCAAGGTAAAATGGTAACTTTACAACAGGATGCATGAATATTGATGAATGCCCATAATTACCAGTAAAAAATTTGATTCGATTGATTGGAAAAACAGTTCAGGATACCTCAGATGTTGATGTTTTAATTTAAAAGCATCAGATAAGAAGTGAAGCATTTCTTAAGCTGAAATTTTTTTTTAGAAAAAAGATAATCTCTTTAGATCAATGCCACCATCACTAAATATGACACCTATCTTTTTCAGGTTTTGAGCAGCCGAGTTAATCTTTATATTTGAATAATGTAGCCAAGGAAACTGCTCCTGTAGGTTTGATCGCTTGCTAAAATTTGTTTTTTAATTTACCCAACGTCTTATTTTCAAGAAAAGATGACAATAAGAATAGTGAAGAATTTTTAAGGCAAATCACCCTCGTTAAATTGTCGACCAAATTCAGTGTTTCAGTAATTTCATCATTATTTTGAAAAAAGTTTCATATGATATTTCCATTCTTTTAAGCACAGCTCTTATTACAAGACAAATTTATTATACATTACCATTTCATAAAAGATCTAATTTGCTGAAGATTTTGATGATAATAATAATAACATCAAATGACTCCAAAGTATCACGATTTGGAACAAATGTATCATAATATCAGCAATGAAGTCTCAAAACATAACTGATAAAAAGGATGATTTGTTGATATTAGCCGTAATGAAACGTATCACGGTGAGGAGTTTCTTTCCACATTTCCAAGGAATAAAAGGGAAGATTCGAATCCCATCAGCTATTGTTTTTAACATCTTACAGGAATAAATAAACCTTTAATAATTTTCTTAGCGGCCGCAACTATATCGAAATACAGACCGCCACCGACCGCTACTAATAACGTATCTAAATTGGAACTTTCCAGGGATTCTATCGCTATTGTTCCTTCAAATTATCATTGAAAAATACAAAGCTACTGGAATCTTCAAAAAATCCTCCAAAACTCGCCTCATTTTAATCAAGAAGTTAAGGATAAAATTATGAGACATATATGGAACTTTATCATTGTCACTAATACCTGTCACTAATCTAATCTAACCAGCAGGAAAACTAGAATATGAAATTTAACGATGAACTGCTCACTTTTTTTCGAAATTGAATGGTAGTTCATCTTCAGCACAAAAGTTTACAAGATATGCTAGCCTGTGTATGTTAACACACTGTCAACCAATCGGACATTTTTTATTGCAAGTTTTCCCTGACTTTGACTGTTTTCAATAAACATTCGAATGTATTTCCCGAATCAATGAAGATTGAAAGATATTCGAAGTTGAAAATATCCAAAGAATTTTTTCCTCATTTGATAAAATGAAACTTACCTCTCCAACCATCACTCTATAGTCATCAAAGGGATCAACCATTTCAATACGTTTGCCACTATCACGAAGATTGTTTCCATAATAATGGTTTCTCCGGTAGTCCGCGGACCACCACTTAAAAATTATATCCCTTCTTTTTTATATTATAATGTCACTCTAAGTTTAGCCAATGAGTTAAAAGTTTTATTAAAGTATATTTTTGAATTAACAGAATTTATTGCTTTCGAACTTTGTGGTTTATGCTATGAATAAAAAAGTTAAAGTGGTTGCTGGTCAAGAAAAAGTTGGGAACCACTACTTTACAGGAACTTTATGCCAATATGTAAACACTAACTTCTTTCAGATTTCCCAGTGATTTTGCTTAACGGAATCATGAAGAATTCAGCAATACATTCTTATTCTCTTCCTACACTATAATAAGAATATATTGAATATATTGCTGATTTTAGAAGAGTGTAATTTTTTAACGCCTGTAATTTCTAGCCTCTCTTTTGGTTAGCAAATTACAATGTTAGCTTTATAATCTTTCACGGTATTAAGTTTTGACACTGGAGCACTGTTCGATGTTACAACTACACACGGGATGCTGTGAATCTTAGCTGCCCAAATTACCACTATTATGAGTAATCTGAAAATAAAAATTTAACTTGAAAGAGATAAATTTTAAGAAGGATCAATAAACATGCAAGTTTTGCTATAGAAAAATTACTCTTAACATTGTAGTAAACCAATATTTTTAAAAGAAATAACGGAAAATGACAAATCACTAATGAAGATTTATTCCCCGGATCACTAACATAATCTTTATCTAGGATAAAAGAAATATAACACAATCCGATTTCTGATTGTGTCATATCAATACACCTGGATACAAATATTACGAAAAAAGTACTCCACAAAGTATAGCATTTAAAAATTCGAAAAATTGAAATACTCCCTATCACCTATTTGCAAGGACTGTTTAGTTTACAAAATGAAATAAGCAAACTTTGGGGGAAAATAAATTATTGAATAGTTCCACCATAAATCTCTTAACTCAGGAAGTCAACAGTTTATCTCTTCACTTGCCAGCACATTCTTAACTTACCTGATTAAATCATTTACGCTCCCCATCAACTACCAACCATCGGTTTTGCTGAAGCTTACGCACTGATTTGGAAATGTTTATCAATGAAACTAGAAAAGTGTGATTAGCTAAATAATGTGCACAATAAGTACAGCATTCAGCACTCCACCTGTTTTGAATGAGCCAGTTTTTTCGCGATGTGTTCACATTTGAAATAAGCTTCCACACCGCACAAGCTATCAATGTAGTTAGATGTCATATGGATGATACCACTGATACGATCCGAAATAGCGTGAACATCTTCAAAAGAAAACATCTCCGAAAAACTGTAAGTCCTCTTGTGAAGTTGACTGAAATGAAGTTGATTAACCGTCGAATGAATGAATAAATAAATTGAATTTTCAACTCTGACAAGTTAACACGCTCATTTTACTTGCCTAAGATTTGAACAAAATCTCATTACTTTATCGTATAAACTAAGCTCTTTTTGAACAACAATAAGTTGAATATAAATAGGGCATACTTCCCAGAATTAACTAAACTGCATCCCTGAAACTATAGAATTGCATCCTGTTGTCAACAAAAAACATTAGAAATAAGGACAGATTAGTCTGCACTTCCATAATATATTAATTTAGGATTATGATTGATTGTTAGAAAAGTATTCACAAACAACATCAATGAAGTCCCTATCAAACCTCAAAATTATTCAAATTATTCATTAATTATCAACTATACAAGATGACACAGACCACTCAAAGAAACAAGACATTATCACAAAGCTTATCATTCGCCAGAAATCGAAATGAATCGAAATGACATAAAACTTTCATTTATTAGTATGAATTCATTTCTTTTCTTTATACTAACCGTTCCTTTTTCTCTCAACAAAAAAACTTGAATTTGGAGTAACAACCTAATAAATTATGGAATTCTAATTCTTACTTAGCTCAAACTATTCATTAGTCTTTATTCCCAAGAATGATATTTCCCATTTTCTGGAACCAGTGATAGTGCATAATTTATCACATGGAAATGATGGAAGCGAAGTAATAAATAAGAACATCATGAGCAATTGATTTACATGATGAGATTAATTGTACACAGTATCATTAAATGATATGCAAATTAAGAATGTGATTTTCTTTAAACAATAGCAAAAAGAAGAACTTGAGGAATGAAATACTGCAAATTTATACACAGTGAACTTAGTTAATGAAATGAATTGTGCAGTTGTCGTTGAAGGAAGAAAAATAAAATAAACATCGCATATTTTATAATTCAACAATTATATCAGTTTTATGCTTATATATTTATTCTTCAGTATACAATATGTGCTATATGGTACAACATAGATGTATCATCAATTATCGATATGGAAAGAATCAGGTAAACATTTCGAAGAATATCAAAGCTGATATGATATTCCAAGTTTTATGATCGAAAAGAAGAAAATAGAACAAACGAGTTAATCAGTTGCAATATTGCATTCATTAGGTAATACAGAGCTAGTAGCTACTTCGATGATATCATCATCACCCATAACACTCTTCATTCGATTCAAACGTCGACGACGTGCAAGGGCGGATTCAATAACAGGTCGTAGTGGAACTAAAGTGGTTGCACTGGTCAGTGCATGATATGTTTTATCTAATGCATCCTAAAAGCAATTAGATTGTCAAATTGTGTACGGTATTACAATCTTCGACAAAAAATCATTCAATCGTAATCAACGACCGTAAATCGTAACTAATGCAATCAAAGATCCAGTATATAAAACTTATTAAAATTTCATTAAAAATTAAAGAAAAAACTGAATGCCTGGAAGTGAAATCCTTTGTTATGTTTAGACAGATTTTCAGCATATTTTGGTCAGTTAGAGTTTTAATTGAATGTGCTGTAAGCCATTTCTTTTTTTTACATTAAACAAATAAAAACTAACAACTGACCATTACTTTGGACGGATCGTTGAAAAAATTTAAACGCATCGTCGATAGTGAATTAAGATGGACAACCCACGGATGAATAAGGATTTGCTTGGCTGAGAGACGTTTGGATGGATCAGCATGTAAAAGATGTCGGACAAGATCCTTTGCCTGTTCCGAAATATTTGTCCAAGTTTGACCATTCAACGAATATTTCCCCTGACCAACACGTTTCAAGATTTTTTGTGGCGAATCATTTTCACTCGTTGCAAATGGTGCTTCGCTGAAATTGAGTCAATCTGATTCGAAAATAGAATTTTCCAATAGTTTCCCTTCTCCTAACTCTGCAAATTTCAAATACTTGTTCATAGAAAAAAAGAATTAGTGTTAAAAACTCACTTTTTTTTTAAACAGATTTCTTAGCTCTACTTCCAGTTGAATATTTTACCCATCACTGAAGTTACAACTTTCCAGTGTCTTCAAAAGTGAACTAATGACAGGTGAAAGCGACTACTTTAAACCATTTTTTAAATTAAAGAAGTGGCCGATAGTTGGAATCATCGATGGAGGAATCTTCCCACAGAAATCAAATATATGAGACATACCCACTAAGCATAGTAAAAAGTAGTACTCCAAGTGACCAAATATCACAACTCATATCATATCCTTGCTTTTTCAGGATTTCTGGTGCAACAAACTGAGCCGTATAACATGGGGTCATCAGTAAACCATTCTCAGCACGTAACTGTTTCGCAAATCCGAAGTCGATTATCCTGATGGAGTCCGGATCAGCCGTCTTCGATGCATACATTATGTTGGATGGTTTTAAATCACGATGCACCACCTGAAAAGCAGATATAGTCTTTGTCGACCCGAATTTTACTCAAAAATTTCATCATGTTCTAACTTGAAAAATGTAAAACTTAAAACTGAATTCTCAGCTTATGAACAAAATTGTATTACATTAACAGCATAGCAAATAAGTGAGCATGAATCGTTCTGAATATTTCATTCCAGGTAAGATTACGGAAACCCAAACTGACCTGATTTGAATGCAAATAGTTGATAGCATTGGCAAGTCTTAACATCACAGCAGCGCTTTCCCTTTCCGAGAAATGCTTCAAGGTCATAATTCTGCTTAACAGTTCACCACCTCTGCACATCTCTTCTACCAAATAAACATTTGCGCTATCCTCATAGACGGCATATAGCTTGACAATATTCAGGTGATGCGAGTAACGCCTTAGAATGTCCACTTCCTCCACTGCGTCCCGTCTGCTTTTGTCAATTATCCAAAAAAAAAAGGAAAACAAGCTTTTTACTTTATGGAATGCAAAAAACTTTATTTTGATTTTACTTCACAACTTATCTATATATCCGGAAAAGATTACGAATGAATTTCAATAATTAAACTTTATCACTTCATTGATATTTAGGCAAAATTTGGTGATTTATTTGGATATGGTTAGATAAGATAAACTATTTTATCTCACGCATTACCACGAACTCTCTCTAATAATGAGTTAATTGTAAATAAACTTAACCTTTAAACACGACTTTACTTTTTACAACAGCGATATAAAAATTAAAATTGAATTTCAAATAAAATTCTGAGCAAAATAAAGTTGAAATGTACCTTTACGGCAAATTCAGCACCTGATTTCTTATGCACGCACCTTTTACACACTGAAAATGAGCCAACTCCAAGATTCTGCAAAATGTTTAATATTTCAATTTGGTCATATTGAAATATCGGTTCGAATTATATCATTCTTCAGCAAAGCCATTTACTAACCTCAGCGAAGTTGTATTCATCGAAAATATATGTTTTCTCGGCTCCCTGAAGATGCGAAGCGATGACACTGACGGATAAACTTGGCTTATCATTAGACAGAATGGAGGGAGCAACGTAACTGAAGCCACGAAATAATTCGTGAGCAGTAGCGGAAGGTGGTAAGGCAGGTGAGTCTGCAAGAGTTATTGTTGATTCTTCCTTAGCCTGACTTTTGAATGAAACATTTCACCATAAATATCGCAGTATCCTAAGCCAAGAATATAAATCGCACTAGAACAATTTGTGTCGAACATGTGGACAAAGCTTAGATGATCAGAAAAGCTGTGTACGTTTGAGACATTCTCAGAAGTGCATCAGGAAAACTAACCATGAGGTGTTTTTTTCGTGAATTCCGGATCAAAACAACGTGTATGATTACTTGGTGTACACAACGGTTTGAATGGTGGCTCAACTTCTCGTCTGTACAATTTGTCCCAGTTGATTGTATCAAAAAATGGATGCGATTTAATCTGTTTCACATCATCAGTTGAACAGCCTAAACGATTTGCCGGATTGCGTTTGAAGAGAGCCTTTAATAAATGTTGAGCTCCAGCTGATAATGATTGTGGCATTGCTAATTTTGCCCTGCAAATCATTTTTCTTTTTTTTTTTTAAAGGATAAACAAATAATGGAGCGTGTCATATTAGATAATCAATGGTTGAACTGACTCTTCATTAAATAGATTAAATGCCTTTTTAAATCCTAAAGTTTTCTAAAATATCTATTTGCAGAAACAAATTTCACCTTAAAATCATTGACATCGTTTCCCTACGGCTATTACCATGGAATGGAAGATCGCCAGTTAGCATTTCATACTAAAAATGGAATTGGTTCATTTGAATAAATATATCATCTACAACAAATTGCTAATAAATACGAATTTATAAAGACTCTCCATGGATGTTTTGAGAGTAATATAAACTATTAGATATGAATTTTAATTGGATTATATACGTTACCATGAGAACACCAAAACTCCACCAATCGGCAGCAACTGTATGTCCATGTCGATTAACTACTTCTGGTGCCATATATTCCACAGTACCACAAAAACTAAATGTTTTCCCGTTTTTTTCAACAGATTCTTTCGATAATCCGAAATCCGTAAGATTGATATGTCCCTCAGCATCCAACAGAACGCTAAAAACGTGTAATCTATCATGAAAGAGTTGTGAAAATTAAAAAAAATAAATAAATAAAAGACGAAAATTGGATACTGAACAAAAATGTCCGAAATTGTTGAGTGGAAAGAATGCTTCGAGAACTTCTACCGTTAGTAAATAAATCTTTCTTCATTACATGGGCGGATAAGTAAGATTTGTAAATGACTCCATGAGACAATTCTAGTGCTCTTTTGCAACACATAAATTTGTCATCCACCTGTTCTCATTAATAGCTGTCACCCTGGACGATCTCAACGAAACCAAAACTACAGTTCATTTAAGGCACAAAACATTTAATTTCTAAGTAATATTCATCGGAGATCAAGAATTAACAGAGTGAACTTTTGAGAGCTAAAAGAAACTATTAGAATTTATTTTGCAATGAAAATGCTTTAAATAAAAACATACCAGAAGCATTCAAGACGACTTTTTTTGCCGGAATTTTCAAAGCTGAAAATAGTTCATCAACTTACTTTTCCGGTTTCAAATCCCTGTATGCAATACCTAAGGAATGCAAATGTCCAAGAGCTAAAGCAATCTCGGCTAGGTAGAATTTGACATCATCTTCGGTGAACATTATCTGAAGAATAAATTTCCTTGAATGAATAGAGCCGAAAGAGGAAGAATTCGAGCATGACAAACAAGAAAGTTTACAGAGCAAAATAAGTGTAGGAAGAGTATAAGAGAAAGAGCAAGTTTATAAATCATCGAAAGAGATAAAGTGACAGTTTAATCCCGTTGTAATGAATAAAATTGAAAGAGTCAATTGTTCTTTTCATTCTTATCAATTTATCAGAGTTTTCCTCTGATAGTGCAATCAAATGCTGGACGCAGCCTTAATACGTTCATGATATGATCATGTTGGCCAATAAATTATTCCGTTTAATCTATTATGCATCATTAAAAATAATCTATCATTGGAAAAATTTTAAGGTTAATAGAAAAGAAAACGAATTTTGATTCAAAGAAGCAATAATCGAATAAAGTTCTTTCCAGAAAAGAACAGGAACATGAACATTTATGCAATACGATTAAGTTGAAATCAAGGGAAGCAGAGATAATAAATGAAAATACTAACTTCTTTAGATAAGCGATTAAAAAGATCTCCGCCAGGTAGGAAATCAAGGATGAGGTACAATTTTCCTTCGGTTTGAAATGCTGCAATTAAAAGGCCAGATTCAATCAAGTATTTTATCTATTTCCTGGAAGTAATTTAAGGAAAGACAAGAAAGGACGGCTATTTCTGTTACCGACTTGACTTTAATTCTTTCTTTAGAAGAACTTTACAATGCAATTTTACGATGATCAAACTTTTTTTCTTTACCGTAATGAAGTCGAACAATGAATGGATGACGAAATCGAGCCAAGATATCTCGTTCCGCTTTCGTACGATATCGGTCACGAACTATGACAAACGTCAATAGTTTCAGTTTAAAACTAATCAGGAATTTCTGAAGCTATATTACTGTTCACTTTCCGTGCATCTCAATATGTTGTACTCATTTGAATGATATTCATCGAATTCTCACTATTGTTCAAATCTATATATTGTTAGCAGAAAAGATATCAATTCACAAAAAAAAAGGAAAAAATACCTTTCAGAGTAGCTTTCTTCAGAATTTTCATAGCAAACAATTGTCCAGTATCACGTCCACGTGTTTTTTTCACAAGCAATACTTTGCCAAATGAACCCTCAAAGATGTGCACAGAGAAACAACTGTATGTATCAGGGCTTTAGATGTCAACTATCAAGTTGTTCTGTTCTACTAATCTGTCTGTAAGGCGGGATAATCGAATCTCTATCTATCCACAGAGAACAATGTCCTTCCCTCGGTCCAGAGCTATGATGGACCTTGCACTGTCACTGCTTATTTGAACACACAACGAGACAGAAGGAGAACGCATGATAAGACAAGCATGTCCGGGTGGAATTTCGATCGGTCGAAGTACTATTTATTTCATGAAAGATTACGATAAAATCTAAGAGCAATCAATTAATCAATTATTTCAAATATCTTAAAGATAAATAGTAAAGAATTGATTAGCGGCATACGTTTATCTTCATAAAAATGCAAACTTACTTGCCCAATCATAGATAATAGTTCAAACTGTGATGGGTCTGCTTTTTCACCTTTTTTCGCAATTTCGGTAATCTCAATTTCGGATATCATGGCTGCTTCTTTTGTTGTGGCGGTATTGGTAATATTGGCGCTACTAGCAGTAGCAATGTTACTTATTATTGACAACGACACATCTGAATCGTTTTTCGGTGAATAATGCTGCAAAATTTGCTTTGATACATAAAGAGTAGCTTGTAGGTAATCCATATTTGGGCTAGATTAGTTTACTATTCGTTAATTATGCAGTAATCAATAAATGAAAGTGTATAATATGGAATGAACGATAATTAGACATTAATTTAATATTAATTTAACTATTCTCAATATATAAATAAAAAATAGAGTGGTAGGATGTAACTTTCTATCGCTTAATTTAGCTAATTTTCAAATAGTTGAATATACTGATCAAATGCATTTAATGACGTCCATCTTCAAACTACCCAAACCTCTGTAGTGGACACGACATTTCCTGTCCAACAAGTGTTTGCATAGAAACTTGCAATAGTTTAGAATGTATATCAATCATAATGTATAGGAATATAAATTCAAATAGCTTAGCCCTTCAAATTATATCAACCTTTTCATCACAGTTAATTAAACTAACAGTCCAATCGGTACCGTTTGGTGAATCGGTATTGTTTAACAAGTAATGTCCTAGTGATAGTAATATTAGATAACAGAAAGAATTGAAAATATAGAAAACATAGGAACCCAGTTGAATCATCAAATCTGAACATGGGTTTTTGCTATCTTCACTGTTTACGATCTTGCTGGGACACACATATTTCAACATTACTTAATGTTCTATCCACATCATATCGAGAATGGATATTGTATCATGTCAGACAGATGTTTAAATCAAGGGAGATTATTGAAATCGTAAACAAATTCTGCGAGCTTTGCAAAAAAAGCTCTAAATTGTTTTGAAATAATTTATTTTGCAAGAACTTGAACTTACATCTTCAGTTTTATTTGTGTTACGTAGAAGGTTGTCATTGTCCCAAAGAACATCGCACTGTGGAGCTAATGGCATGTCCCAATAGAACTGATTTTTTTCTTCTGTCTCAAAGTTCTCGATTCTACAAATTGCTCGAAAATAAAGTCAAGCAGATATTACTAAAAAAGTGCGAATTTTCGAGAGACAGGCAGAGGGTCATAGATGACGTAAATTTGAGATAGCAGAATAGGAGTAAAATCTCACCGGAAAACGAATCATCTAACGATACAAATCTTTTTATTTGTGATGCAATAAAACTGACTCATCCACTTATCCAAATATTGGTGACAAAGAGACTGCAAATTTAACTAATAGCATGAATTTTTCAAGAAACATCAACAATGATTTTGCAAAATGGTTTAAAGGACGGATACACGAAGTATATGTGAAGAGTGGCACTCAGATTGATGTAAATTTTGAAATAATGGAGTAATAAAAGGTCTCTATCACTTCTCTGCGAAGCAAAACTATTAATTCTTTTGGTACGGAAGGGAAGGAAGGAGAATAAGCACGTTGTCTTTCTGAAATTCGAATATATCTAAAATAATTCACTTATTTTATTGGAAATTCTCCTTAACTTTGAAATGATTCATTGCATAGGTTATTTCTTCTAAAAGCACCATACAATAAATGGTCATAAAATTAAACTTTTTTGTATCATTTCGATAAAAACCTAATTCGACAATGCATCTATCTGTTTTAAACATATCGTTATCAAATTAGGAATTATCCACCATTTGAGAGAGAAATTATCATCCATAATTCAATTCAAGTAAATCTTCCAAAAATTATTCACGGAAATCTCTCTATCTTCATACAAAGAAAAGTTAGTTTTCACTCTAGTTCAGTAAATGGTTGTTGGTTGTTTCACTTTTATAATTTCTTTGAAGAAACTATAAATATTTAAAAAACAAAAGGGGAAATCTTCAGTGGACTAGAAACATTTTAATTACTAACGAAACATGAAGACAATGCAGTTAAAAGAAAAAAAAAGTGGATGACGTGCAAATGAAATGGTAAATCTTCGGATCACAAAGTTATAGCTTATTAAAAATCTTTCATCTGAAATTTTAACTAGCTCGAAAGAACTGTAATGGTACCAAGCTTTCTTCTGCAAGGTGTTATTTCAATTTCACATGTCCTGCGACTTATGAATCCCAATAAACAATGTAAAACATGAAAACCTAGTTCTATCAACTTTAATCGCTAAATTTTTCATTGCTAATGGAAGTGCTTAAAAAATTAAAATAGAAGCTAGCAAATGCAAATTAAAATACGGGAGAAAAGTAACAAGTAAATTTACTACCTTATAACTTCTTCAGGGTTATTTATCTTCTTGAGGCGAGGAAAAGTGAGCAGTTTCAAATTTTCATCGACTTTTAATCAACTTCTTGAATGAAAATTGCATTCAAATTACGAATCAGTCTGCAGTCGCGAATGTCTCCTGCATATCACAATGTCCTGAAACATACTGAATCGGTGAAATGAGATTAAAATTTTCATCAAGCAATATTGCCAAAGACATTAGGACGTTTCGGATTACAATGTATTTTCAAAAAATTAAAATTTGCGTATACATAATTAAATATGTGATCATCAACCCAATACTAGCCGTTACTACTATCATCAAGCCATTACTGAAGATATGACAGTTAGAGAGATAATTTTTGGCCTAAAATGTCCAGTTAATTACATTTTAGTTAATTTCGGTCCTAGGTTACTGCTACCACTTTATGATTTAAGAAAAATTTCAAACCCAACAAAACTTTCGGTGAAAAAGGAATGAATCCTCCGGGCTGCAATACCGGAATTTCAATTTCAAAATGATGCATAACCAAAATATTTTTAAACATCACAAAACTGTCATTATACGATTATTGACAACGGTCAAAAGAGAAATGACCTCCGATAGTATCTCCGGTTTTTTTGATGCAAAATAAGAAGAAACTATTCATGTTCGCTAACAGTATGAATATTCCATTTAGCGTATAGTAAGTTGTCAGTGTTTTAATATTCCAGCCTTAGTCATCCCACGGCCTGAATAATGTCAATCCCTTGGCCTTCGAAGAATATATTTGTCCCCACGTAACAATATGATCAAACAGTGCCAAATTCGAAACTGTAATTAGAGAGGAAGGTGAACATCGATATTTCATGCTTTAATTGTTATTCTTGACAACGTTATCAGCACTGTCTTCTCCTTCCTCTTATTTCACTATATTTATATTTATTACGGAAACTGGTTCATAAGGAGAGAGAAGACATTTGAGGGCAGCAATCGGCCGCCAGTCAGCGGTCCACTGCTAGTTGTGACAGCTGCCATCATAACCGTCTAAATACGTTTAACTTTTATATAGCAATGATGTCAACCCTTAACATTTCAAAGGTAACGCTATTTCTTTGCAGCTTGTTCTTTCCGACTTCTTCACTAAATAATTGTTTTGTTAAGCTATTAACCCACGACGACAGAGATACGAACTTATGTACACATAGCACTCCTTCGTCACACCCATTATGCGTGACACTTACAGCAAAATCTGTTGGACATAGGTTCTGGGTAAGATGGGAAAGTTAGATGTAAAACAGAACATGGCCTGATGGAAGGTCGTAGAATGGATACAAAAGTTAAAGTGAAATTTGAAAAAAAGAAAATAACTTGTCGATTGATATTTGAGGAAAAGATTTTTAGGACACAGATGGCTAGGTCAGTACTGGCTCATTCGAAACACCGAACATTTTGTAGAGTTGGATGACAACTAATTTGGATATGAAGAGGAAGGTGGTGGAGAGATAAATGTAAATTACCATTAATTGATATGATAAAAAAAGGTAAGCCGGCCAACATCTATTACGTTAGCATAAACCTTAATAATAAGAAGAAAGCATTCTGACGTCATTTATTCCAATCTAGACGTAATCTTTGATAATAACATCAGTTGCATTTCGATAAGTGTGATAGATAGATAGAATATTTAAGTCACATAAAAAAGTCAACAGACTAATTAAGAAAAGTTCCTTCGCTTTTGGCTACACGTAGAATCAATCATTCGTTAGATTCTTAGTGTCTCATTGCAATGAGGACTGAAGTGAGGAGATATTTCTTTGCATGCCTCATATAAATGACGAAAATATGCCATCCAGAATCAGCAGTTCGAACCATTCATCAATCTGATCATTGAAGGGTTGAACAGAATCATTTTATTCCGATGGTTTCATAAAGAGGAAGAGGCACTTAATTGAATGCGATGTGCTTAAGGTGAGTGGATGGAGGAGCCTTTGGGAAATGACTTGTGGAGGTGGACGAGGTGGTATTGTAACCAGACCACTAAATTAATTGGTTTGGAATGTCGAACTACCTCTAAGTAAGAGGGATGAAAAGAGCAAATCCAAATGTGCAAAATACCAAAACGACAAACGCACTTACGGAGTTGAGCTGTTAAATAAACAATGATGAAGAGGAAAAACCGGGTTAGTTATGGAACAGTGGTAATAAACAGGATAAGGTAAAGTAGAAAGGGCAAATGAGACATGGGTAGCAGCTGTGAGATACCAAGAGCGGAGAGTATGAGAAAGAAATTTGGAATTAAGAGATATTTATATCGAAGAATGATTTGATCAGTGTGATAATGATGACAATCCTTCCAATGAGAATTATTCTTCTATTGACAAAAGCATTAACCCCGCAGCAATATACAAATACATACATATCCCACTGCAATATCTGGACGAAATGACACAGTAGAGATAGAACAGCCTAATCAGTTGTGACCCGATTAAACAGAATGTCTTAGATGGATGGCATTGCAGAATCGAAAGACATATTACTTGCAATTGAATGTTTTCAGCAATCCTGCTATGGTTAGCGAAAAATTTCCACTCTAAACCTCTTCAAATATTTCATTATTCTGAATTCGGAAATGCAATCAGCTGTGGAACGCTTGGCTCTTGGTTTGCTTAGTGCATCTCTTTCATTTTAGAAAAGTGTCAAAATGCCCTATGAGACGACAATGGATAGATAGCAGAATTCGTTTTGGAATCCAAGCCAGCTTTATTATATACATAGAACACCCATACACATACACACACATATCTACGCGCGCACGTGTCTTTCAATTTATGCTTGCAGGTTGCCGACATTAAACTGACACTCATCCGACATTTGTTCCCAACTTATGTAATTAATCGGACATAGAACAATCGACCTGAAGAAAGACCCGACTAATTATTACTCACTAAAAAAACTTCCATTTAAAAACCGAGCCCACAACCATTTCTCAAATGCGGTAAGATCAAAGATCGAATGCATTATGCTAACATTTTAAACAGACGAAATTTCGATGTTTTCATCACTTTCGGAAATATTCAAAGGCATGCGGCGGAAACCAAATCAAAGAACCAAGATCTGAGACTGCTGTGCTTTCATCAAAATCCGCTTTAAATATAATTATTGTTTCTAGTAGGATACCCTCCGAGGTAACACTTTACCGGAATTTGTAAAGTACGATTTCGCTTTTTTTTTTTCAATACATTTTGACATGAAGCAAAGCGGTCCATCAGAAAGTCTTGTAAATTGAAAACACTTCATGAATCCTCATAACTTGTATGCGACAATCCTTAGCCTCAGCTGAAAGATTAGAACGGAAAAAGTTTAAGATGAAATCGGCACCTTTTTTTTGAACGAAGACTATTGTGTTATTATCACTGTACGACAATGCCATGGAAAGAATTTTGCACATTTTAAATACATAAAAAAAAGAAGAAAAAAACCAGTGAGAAACATTTACAACTTGATAATTAAAACACCTGCATCCTAAGCGGCTTCCAACTTAGAGTCTTCATTTAGTCTTCTTGAAAAAACAACTGGAGAAGGATGCCATAATTAAATGAAAAATCGCAAGATGAAATTCCCTTTGAAAGATTGCATGAATGCAATTGAAGTTCGGACCAATTAGCTAAAATAGTCTTCCAGTCTGGTAAGCATTCAAACAATTCTATGTAAAAAAGAGGGTGAACAACAATAATCGAGTGTGACATTCTGATAGTAATAGCGTTTCAAATGGTGGCACAGTTGCTGAAAGTATGAAGTAGTGCAAGTAATTCATATTTAGTAAAAGTGGAAAAAGCATCTTTAAAAAAAGTAACAAACAGTACGAAAATGGTGAAACCCACAGAATCACTTTCAGGTAATCAAATTCTCAACTTCTTGCTTCAATTTCAATCTTCCGGAATATTCTCCAATCTCAAATTTCAGCTGTATTCCGGATCTTTTTCCTGCTTATTTCCAAAATGATAGGGATAAACGGTTGTCCAAAGATGTAAAAAATTTTGTTACTTTCACTATAAAAAGTGCTGAAAGCATTGAGAAATGGAGTAAAAATGTAACGGTAGCTGAATTATTTTGAACATGGAAGTGCAAAAGGATGAGAACGGATATATTGGGGAAACGAGAGAAGGGAATGAAATTTTTGAAAGATTCTGGATGAGGCAGCAAAATGAGAATAGATATTAAATAAACGCTGATAGACGATATGATTTATCATGCAAGCGCCATGACACATAATTGTCAGGAAGGACATGGAGACACGTCGTGGTATACAAGCAAATGCAACAATAACAACAATTAAAGATTTGATAAAGCTTAAATTACTGGTGATTTGATCGATGATGTAGTACTGTTTAAGAGAAGGTAGTGCTAAGAATTGTTGCTAAGTTCGGAAAATTGAGTGAGAAACAAAAAATTCGATAGTAAACACTCTATACAACACGAAAATATTGCAAGGAATGTGACATTAAAACAATTATGACAGCAAATCAAA